AATTTGTATTATTTTCCTAATTAAATTGAATTAAATGGATGGATCCCCTACACTTCCAATGCTTCGCCGTCTTAAAACAAGAACCCAGTCGCAACGATGCGATTCGACATGCGGACCTTCAAGCGCGAGGTGTCCCCGAGGAACTTGTTCTCCTGGCTCCGCTTGTGGATGGACTTGGAGATCCACACGTAGAGGGAACAGGGAGGTCCCCCGAAGATGAGGCCCTTCGTTTTGAGCTTCTTGGCCTCAGCACAGAGCGTCCAAAAGCCCTTGGCGCTCGTCATGTCGTGCTCCGGGTTACTCTTGATGTCGAAAGCAAAAGTCTCCCAGCCCGCTTTGCGCCAAATCTTGGACATCTGCGCAGAAGCCCCGAAAAGGTCGATGATTCCGTACTTTTCTGTGCTCTTTGGGCCCCTCAGAAAGGCTCTGATCTCACTCCTGTGTTTCTCGGCATCAAACCAAAGCCCCTCCTGGCACTGTGTCTGAACATCGTCGTCGTCGGTATTGATGCTGCGCTTCGGCATTTCGAGATCAAAGAGGCGGTGGCGAACAAAAAAACAAAACTACAACAGAAAATCTTGAGCCGGCCATATCAGGTTTCTATCCTTTGACAGCTCCAACGCTGACTGCAGCGCGTATGCGAGGTCCGCCTATTCGGAGCAATCCCTGCCAAGCACTCTGAAAAGGCACCTGTGCTGACAGAGAATGCCAGCCGGCCTCCCATGTCGGAGGTCTTCACAGTCCAAAGAGAGACGCCATCCTTGGACCTGGATGCCATGGCGGAGTCTTTTTGGGTTGGAGGGGACGGGCTTTGAGGCTTTGGAGGACGTATGCCTGAGTGCAGATTTCTGTCAGCAGACAAGTCCTGCGTTGTGCACGAAAGACAAGGTTGCCGGAACCTTCTGTTAGCGAGCTTTGCCGTGCAAGGCTATACGCGGCTATACTACCAGAGGACATCACACGTTGTTAAACCCTTGGTGCATGGGAGAATCAAGCTTTGCGTCAGCTTTTGGGGGAAGCTGCCCTGCTTATTGCAATTGCCTGTTGCAGATTGTGGTCGCATGCGGAAGCCCCAGTTCTGCTGAGTGTCCACAGCCTTGCTGAATTTTCACGTGGACATCCCCTCGCAGTGCTGCAGAAAGTCTCGGGGAGCTCACTGCTGGACATCTGTCAATCACTAGAATGCCAGCTATTCTGTGTGGTCCCGCAGTCAGGTACCGCAGCAAGGTACAGAACATGTCTTTGCCAAAGACAAGCTTTTTGAGGCTCTGGCCCTGTGAAGAGCGTTCCGGTCGAGGGGTCGTAATCCATGGTGGTGATGGGATTGCTGGACACGGCACCACCTTAGCTCGTGCCCCATCCGGATAGCCACACCAAGAGGGGGGAAACAATAATGGAGAGTTCCCTGTCAGCACGGAGTCTTGCAAGGGTTTCAAGCGGAAGTGGCTGCCAAGGGATCGTGATCCCCAAATTTGGCCTCTTGAATTCAAGGATCCGTGCACCTTAAACAAAGACGTGACCAGGATCCCGATGCTATTTTCCCTGAGAGCATGAGGCAAATGAGCATGCGACTGCATACCTGGTGCCCGCAACTCCTGGACCCATGCACATTGAACTCGGCTTGCAACAAGTGGCCATCCGGCACGATCGCTATTCTCTGAAGAGGCAAGATCGAAGTATCCCACACCTGAGCTGGCAAGTGTGCCGGGTCGAATCTGCACATGTGTACGTCCAACATAGCGAGTCTCTGCACCGGCACCGGTTGCAAACGTAACATAAACACCAATAAATCATGCAAGCCGGTGTAACCTGTCAACGGCAAGCACTGCACTCACCATACCCTCTCGGTGCCGACAGCAGCCCTCGAAAACTGGAGGCTGTTCGAGGAAAGCTGGACTTGACATACCCTACAGCTCATGTATAAGTATACGATAAGTATAATACCGGAAAACCTTTTGAGTTAATCAAGGCCCACATATTTAGCTTGCGAAGCTCTGAGCTACCAGCAGCCACGGTCCCATTCCTCATTGCCGTGAAGAGCCGACGTTGCTCCTTCGGACTGTCGAAGGGTTTAGGATTCCGGGGGGTTCTGGCTCCTAAACCCTAAACCCTCATTAGTAGCCCTTCTAGAACCCTCTAAAGATCCCTTTAAAGGAAGCCTAGCAGTGCTTCGCAAGCAACAGCCACGGCAGGTCTCCAAGTCTCACACAACCGAAAAGATGCCGAGAGACGGGCGTCCGCAGGACACTAGCACGATACTCTAGGGGTCTTAATAATTAGAATAGGGTTTTGGGGCCCATTATACTATTTTTATAATAAGGAATCCCCAAAAACCTATTCTAATTATTAAGGCCCCTATATTACGGTACTCGGACAATCCCGGCGAGACTGTTCCAGTCGGCCACGGGCCCGGTCACGCGACTGTTGTGTAGACTGTGATTATCCACCTCTAGACGTTTAGGGCTTTCGTCACGTTCCTCTGCCAACCGCTACTAGCCACAAGACCATAATTAACTTAACTGCTGCAAGATGACACTGGATGCTCGTTTGTGATGGTTCAGCTGTGGTGTGCAAGCATCCAGCATGCAGAGCGAGGCGCAACATGAAATTGCCAAAACGGTGCACCCGCATGGCATTCTGTCAACACAACTTTGCTGAACACTTTCGGACCGAGCAAATCCCACAGCCGTGCATCGCCTTCAAGCCATCGGCCGCCCTACAGGTACCTACTGCGAAATGTCCGGTTACCTTTTGTAAATGAAGGCGTCTGATTTCGCATTGCTTTTTCTTCCTCTGCAAGGCACGCAGGGGCCGCTGATCCGCTGAGCAGTTGCTACTGCAAATCGTGATTAATGCAAACAATAGCCAACGGGGTTAGGGTTGGGTTACGTGAGTGGAGCTGCTTGCAGCATCCGGCCAGGTAGGTGAAGGGTGCCGATTGGGGTCATCGGGTACTTACGACGAAGGCTTTGGGCGAACTGAACCAAGAAGCAAAAGCAAAACCAAACAGCGAAGCTTGCCTCTTACGGTGAGATTGGAGCCGCAGCTTGAGATGTTGTGGCGCAGCCAATAACTGTCACGACATGTCACGACCGTAAACTGTACACCGTGCCACGCAATATCCCAGCCGCTCAGAAGTTGAGGCCCTCCGGATACCAGCTCTTCCGCCTCTTCGGCAACGGACGGAGTCAGAGCTATACAAATGACTCCGTAACAAGTCGTATTGATGTATATATAACTACATGTATGTATGTACGTATGTATGTATGTATGTATGTATGCATTTATGTATGCACGCATGCATGTATGTACAAATATATACACACACATGCAAAGGCACACATACACATATATAGATATATATATATATGCATTGATGTACACGGCGATGTACTACATGCATGCATGCATGCATGCGCATCCACGCGTGTATGTAGAGTTTTGTGTGCACAGTCCGAATCACGCGCTGCTCTGCAATGCTTCGTTGAAGCACTCCGGCTGTTCTGACACCGCAGGCGAAAAGCCCGGGGAACATCACACGAAAACCTGCCTAAATTGCCGACCGCATTGTTGCGCACATTGCGTTCGTGCAGCGGCGTCGATCAACGACCTCAGCATAAAGCCACCGCAATGCATTCAATAATAATTGTTACAGTCTGACTTGCCCGACACGAGACTATGTCAATCACACCCCTAAGCAACACGGCCCAATCCACAGAGTGAAGACCTATCACTCTGTCAATAAGGAATATGACTAAACTTGCAGTAAGGATAGAATTCCTGAGTAGAGTCCTTATGGTTCGTTGTGACCCATTCTGAGTTTCCTGAGCCTCGGCTACAAGGGGGCCGTTTTTGGGGGTGCCGTGTCGTATACTTACAGGACTATAAAAGGATTTTTTCTGAATTATTCCAACCTCTACATTACCCCGAGCTCAGGGTAGAAGGGTGTTGAATGGTTTCAGGGACTAGGTCTTAAATTCTTGAGCTTTCGGCGACTCGGTTTCAGGGTTGAGGATTTGCGGGTGCGGGACTTTATGGCTTGGAAAACTTTGAATTATGTATGGCTCAGGGCTGTTCCACTTCAAAGCTCCAATTCTTGCGAAGAGGCAGATGGCATGATTGAGGTGCCTTCTCCGTCCGCCTCACGTCCCCCTGACCTGGATATGAGTTCGGGCTGCTGGTCTTGCGGGGGCAACAGCATGTTGTATTGGGTGCCTTGGTGGCAAAACTTGAACCTACCGCCTGGTCAGCGTAGGACTGCGTCGCTTGGCCCTTCTACTATGCACCGAGCCGACGCATGTGAATGTGAGGACTTGACACTTGCCACGGCCATGGCACGAAGGGGGCATCTTCCCACCCGAGTAGTGACGTCACCCTGGCAAATAACTGCCACTGCAGCAGCTCTTAAATGGCCGATAGAACTCGACATGCAAGCTCAAAAGAACCAGTATAATATATAATACTTTATTATATTATATTACATTATATTGTATTATGTTAGCATCGGACAGGCAGCAGAAGCTGCAGCCGCCGCTAGCAGAGAAGCCAACTTCGCCAGAGGCGCACTGGCAGCAGGCAGCCGCTGACCTCCAGCTTCATTCGCACTGCAAAACGCTCTAGGTGTGCATACTCAACTTTTTCAAATTAGCAAGGCAACCCAAGCAGCCTACACCTGAACCACGAAGGTACCACAAACACATCAGATGAGGTACTCTGTCATGCTACACTCACAAGGCACTGCCCGAAGCAAAGAAGGGCCGCTTGTGCAGCATGCAAAAATAAAGCAGACGCACAAGGCCACAGGGCAGTTCAGCCAACGGCAGGCTCGGAGCAAGGCCGGCCCGGAGTCCCAATGCTCAGATGGAAACATCGGTCAGAATACGGGACTTTCCGAAAATTAGGGGTGCCTTATTTTGGGGTCCTTATAATCAGGATCCTACTATTTGGGGTACTACATTAGGGTCCCCTATTTTCGGAAACCCCATATGTCGGCTGACGAAGCAGTGGAAGGTTTAATGCTCCACTTCAATCTGCAGAGTCGGATCGCAAAGGAGCCTTGGGATTCTGGGATGGCTGGTCACAACCCTCTTGCATACGACTGACCTCTGGGTGTGCTTCTGCCACGAGGATAACATAGCCCGGTTCTTGATGGTGCGCTGCATTCTGGAGGCAAGGGTATTTTCACGATTCAGGAGATAGCCAAAGTTAATCCTTAGTTGAACCGACGGAGTACGTGCCGCCGGCGTCACGGCACACACAAAGTCAACTCCCGGCGCCTGCTTACGTCGAGCAGCTGGGGCTGGCCTTCCAGTCGCATCACCGTATGCTCCAGAAGCCGCATTGACTTCGGACAGATGATGTTGCTAGATTCCAGAAGTATCCGTGGATGCCTAGATCCTTGTAGGATAAAAGCTACTGCTCACTGCATTCCTGCAAGACGTTTCGAAAGACAACGCACGCAGCTCGAATGACAATGCACGCAGCACCACCCTGTTTGCATCCCCAAACGACTGGTCACTAGTCG